CGCTCTGTCACCACTATTACTGGTACTAACCTCTGAGAATAGTTTCTGGAAATGCCAAGTAATAATAGGGATGCTAAAGGAAATACCAGAGCCTCTTTCCTTACACATGCAATTGTGTATACTTGCAAAGATTTCATAGATCTTAGAATATTTTTGAGGCATAGGGAATAATATTCCAGTACAGTTTTATGTGCGAAGAACCTAAAGTGCAATCACAGCTCACAATGCTCCAGAACATTCTGCAACTAAGGGACAGAACAGGGAATTGTTACCATGAAAGCAGATTGTTTGCTACAAGTGCTCTACCATCGCTGTTGCAATAACAAACGTCTTACAGTAAATACCACCATAAGATGCTAAAGACTGAATGCTTGTTTTTACAAAGTGATTCATAAGTCTGTGCTAGAATTCTCAGCATGAACATTTTAATGACTCATTCGTGCACTAAGAGTAGTCTGGTGAAAACTATATTGAGTTTGGAGAGCTTAGAGTGATTTCAGATCAGCTACTGAGACACCGTTGTATGCTATGAGTACTTGCTGATTTTAATTACATGCATCTGAGTCAGGTTTAAATCTGCACTGTATATCCCTCAAAACTGAAAATCCCTTTGAAGTGTACAGACTCCTTTTCAGGCCCTCTGGGCATAGAAGATTAATTAGATTAATAAATTTAAATTCTTATGTTCAGTCATCTTCATCCTTTGGCTTCTAGTGAACTTTTCAGACGTTAAAATGTGTTTGTCTCTTGAACCACCTAAAATACAAGTTTTAGTCCTCCAAACTGCATGACCATTTCCACCTACAGTGCCAAGACTTCATGGGATGCACAGCTTTTTTTTTGTTGTCTAAATCATGCCTTCTGAAGTTTTGTTCTGGATAGCCTGAATACATTTGATTACACTAAAACCAGCATTGTATCAGTTGCTAGTCTTGGCAAAATCAGTGATCTACATCTTTCTTTCCTCAGCCATACAAGGCAATTAAATCTGTATTGCTCAGAGAGTGAGCTATGGACAACCTTGTGCAAAATGCAGGAAAAGAGAGGGAAATACTGTCTTGCTTAATACCTTGAGTACTCAGTACAGATTACTACTCTACTCTGCCCTGGTGAGGCCTCATCTGGAGTACTGGGTCCAGTTCTGGGCTCCCCAGTACAAAAACGACAGGGATCTCTTAGAAAGAGTCCAGCGGAGGGCCACGAAGATGGTGAGGGGCCTGGAGCAGCTCTCCTATGAGGAAAGGCTGAGTGAACTGGGTCTGCTCAGCCTTGAGAAAAGAAGACTGAGAGGGGACCTGATCTCTAAGGTGTAGGGGGCAGAATGGTGAGGCCAGACTGTTTTCAGTGGTGAGTGGAGACAGGACAAGTGGAAACGGCTGGAAACTGCAGCATAGGAAGTTCCGCACAAACATGCGCAAGAACTTCTTTACAGTGAGGTGACGGAGCACTGGAACAGGCTGCCCAGGGAGGTGGTGGAGTCTCCTTCTCTGGAGATGTTCAAGACCTGCCTGGATGCCTACCTGTGTGACCTGCTGTAGGGAACGTGCTTTGGCAGGGGGGTTGGACTCGATGATCTCTGGAGGTCCCTTCCAACCCCTACAATTCTGTGCTTCTGTGATTAGAAGAGCTGTATTCTAGATCCCCTTCAAGTATTTATTTCCGTAAAAATAAAATAAAACTTCTGGAAGTGTCTAAATTCAAGAGGTGAAACTGTAACATAAATCTAAGAAGCTGTAGGCAATAAAATATAAAAGGTTAAGTGGTGCTTATAAAGTTTAAAGCAATATATTTACCAGCATTAATCATTTTAATCCGCACACAGGCAATACCAAATAAGTCTGATTTATACACTTGGCAAGATGATGGGCCTCTAATTAGAGAGAAGTCCTATTACTACAGAGCCACTAGAACTCTTTGGAATCATTTCTGATAACCTCAATACAGCTGCTCCGCTCACAAGCAAAATCACTTCTGACAAGTTCTTGGCAATAGCAGGCAAAGTATTTGCAGGTAGAGCAGATAGGCAGATACAGAAAGAAGAGCTGAACTCACCCATGTGCTGAAGGAACTCTCTGGGTACAAAACACACCTACTCAGGATACAACCTACATCAGAAATGCTGTCTTTTCAGTGACTGGCCCTTATACTAGCCCAGGGGGCGGACTTAACCCTGGGTCCATCCCTTCTAGTCACATAGGAAACACAGGTGCAAGCAGTTTGCCTGTGCTCCCTAGCCAGACACACACCTTCACCAGGTGCTCAATCACCAGTTTCACCAGTTCAAGCCCCAGCCTAATAGATCCCCCACAACAGCCCAGCTACTTCTACTGAAATAGGATATTAAGAGCATTTTGGAAGAGGGCATCTAAATTCAGTTACCTTGTGGAATGATTAGCTTTCCTAAGAACTCATTATGTCTCCTCTTTTATATCTCAGCTGATTGTATGTCAAGCCACAAGTAAGCTAAGGTAATGATGTTATCATATCTGAATTAAATAGAGGAGTTATTTATGTCTGTGTACTATTAATATACTTAAATGAGAAATGTAGGCTGTATTTGCCAGACCAATGATAGCTTTTGTTTCAGTGAGGATTTCTGTTCTAATTGTATGCATTAAGACCCTGTATGCACAAAGAATACTTAACACTGCAAAAATAGAAATTATCTGGAAAGAAATATACTCTCCTAAAACTGAATTACTTGCATGTAATAATGAAGAAATTGGCTCACTATACAATGACTGCAGTGTTTCCAAAAATTAAACCTACAGATGAGCACATTCAGTATCCCCCTGTAGCATTCTCATACAAATGCCAGTGCTTTAACTTGGAAAGATACCTTTGGGTACCAGGGTAGCAATGGAAATACTTCATAGTTGAGTCTACAGATGTTTTCTTGCTTTCAAATTCACACAAGTAATGAACGTTATGCAATGTTCTTCTTGCAGTTCATTTACAATGGAAATTTTTGCTTCCATTATTTGCTTAATTCACAAGTAAGAAAAGCTTTGATAATCTGGTAATGACAGCATGGTACACAACAGTTCAGTACAGCATGATATTAATATCTTAGTACTATGATCTTCATTATGCAGTGGGGTTTTGACAGCTAACTCATGATCTGACTTGTTTTCCATCTTTTTGATAGTCACAACTGGAAATTGTCATTTTGGAAGACGTACAGATCTCTGCAGCATCTCCTCAGTTAGGGTACTGACCTATCATTTGTGCTCCAAGGAGCTGCTGTAATATAAATACTCCACAGTTTGTTCAGTCTGGGAGAAGACCTGTCCAAATGCTCACGTGTAGTTGTTGCATTTAAGCAGGACTGTGGTGCTTTGAGCTGGCAATCCAAGCATCATCTTTTAGAAAAAAAACACTGTATGGTATATTCAGCAATCTCCCCTGCAGCATCATTAAAGAAGTATTGTAGCATAACGAGGAGACTAAAATACATTGTTTGGTGAATGAGAACTCCAACTGCTTTCTGCAGTTAACGCTATTTTTACTTATTTTGCTACTGCAATGTCAGAATTCCTCACGGTCTTATACATTCTCTTAACACATCCATGTCTGTCTTTACATTTTGAGCAGGATCTGACTTACAGAGATTCAAGCCTGAAGAATCAATCATCTCAGAGACGTTTACTGTCTTATCGCTGTCTCAAAGCACTGCCTAACTATCCAGCAGCACATCATTATCATTATCATTCAGTAATTAATTTTTATTAGTGCTCCACATTTCAGACTTCTTCCCTTAAAAAAATCTGACAAGTAGAAGCAAGTGAAACAATTCTTTTTGTGACTTGTTGCTATTCAATATGTTAAACAAGATGGGGATGTAACAGTACTTAAAAGATTTTGCTCAGAATTCCCAATATGAATATTTTTATCTTTGTCTTTTATGAAATGCTAACAAATCAACACAGAAGAGTCTGAGGAGATACATCTTTTGTAGATTGGCTGATACAAACCAACACAACCAACACTGAAATTATTTGGCAAAAGAAGCAGTTTTATGTGTTTAGCTGAGAACAAAGGTTCTTTATTCTTTTCTTTTTCAGAAATACTGTAAATCAGCTGTAGTCATGAGAGGTTCTTTTTTTTTTTTTTTTTAATACTTTAAGCCAAGGTACAAAAAAAAAAAGCAGAAAACTGATGTATGGTATTAATATGCCTTTGAACTAAGCTGTTCCCTACTGAGACAAGAAGACAGTAACACTGAAAGAGAAGGAGACAGAATGATATTTCTACTTTGGGAAACCCAGCTGAGATTCTGCTAAACAAAAGGCGAAGAAAAGGATTTTTGAGAGAATTCCATGCTTGTGAATAGCCTGACAGCTAAATTATTAGGTCAGTTCTATCAACCTGCCCATTACAATTCTAATTCATATTTCCTGCAGAACATAGTGCAGAGAAAGAGAAAGCAATCAGTTATTCTCACTGGTGCTAGACTCTGCTGGCCTTTTCATTAATTGTTTCTCAAGACTAGGCATGTCACTGCTGCAGTTAGGGTCAAACAGATAGCAAAATAAGCATAGAATTGGGATGGAAAACCCTTTTTATTTGTTTTCTGTTCATTTAGTTTTGGCAGCTTTAGTGAGATGAAAGCAGCTAAAAAGAACAAACATGCATAGCTGACAGCCTATGAATGAATGCTGCAAGACAAATTGAAAATAACTTTGGTGCAATGACGTGCTTATTAGTGAAGCTCTGTAGCATTTTCTTGTTTAAAAGTACCTACAAGTGGCTCCAAAAGTAATGCCTCCTACTTATTTCCATGGAAAATACAACAGATACAAAGAGAACAATAACTCTAATAACAATAATAAATTTGATAGAGCAAATTCTCAGAACAAAACACTGTTTTTTAGCAGTCACCACCATCAATTGTGCATGTTCACCAGCGATGAACAAGAGCCTGCATGCCACAAATAACAATTTGTGCCAGCAGAGGTAACCCACTGCTGCTGTCACCACTGCTAAAACGCAGCACCCACCTCTTCACTGTGCTCACATCCACTGTTTGGTCTCCAAAAATGTTCAGCAAGTATGTCAATGGATGCATGGAGGAATTCAGTGCTACACCTTTGCTTTGTACAAACTTCCTTTTAAAAGCTGAAGGGCTGCTCTCAGGTCTCCCTGAGCCTTCTCTTCCCCACGTTGCTCTGTCGCAGCTCTCTTAGCCTGTCCTCGTAGGGGAGGTGTTCCATCCCTTGGAATAGGGAAAAACATAGGTACAGGTGTGAATCCTCAAAATGCTGAAGATCAGAGCCTCTGAGAATCAAACAAAACATTTCTGAAGTCTGTTTGCAGTGAAAAATCCAAGCTTAGTTTATGGAGAAGAACTGGGAAAGAGCAAAGTAACAAGGTGGACTTTTTTTGTTGCTGTTTTGAGTTTGTATTATCTATTTATTTTCCCTCGGGGAGTGAAAAGGGAGCAGAAATTATTCTGAACAGTTCAGTCACTGAATTTGAAATTTGAATGATTTCTGTAAACAAATAATGTTGGAAGTCACTAGTTCCCCATTTGTATCAAGTACTTGGAAAATATTGACTGATGAAGAAAATACAAATCAAACATTTCCTATATGTGATATGTATAATGTGGTATTAGAAAAAAAAACACCTGTGGAAACTTTGAAATGTGAAAACAATGTGCACTCAGCAGACAGAAAGGGAATTTTGCATTCCAGATACCAATGATATAAAGTGATGCAGTGATATATTAGGAAGAAATGTAATTCATGTCATGTATTTTTAAGGCTACAATTAGGCTGTAGTTGTGAGACTTCACAGTCGTCTCACAAGAGCTGTGAAATTAATTTTCATGGGGATATATGATTGTGTGATGTTGAACAACTATTATTCTTCTCTCTGGATCTAAGCTGATGGTTTGTGTTTCTTTGGCTGGTCCCTGAGAATATATCAGCAGCATGGGAGGGCCAAAGACACCAAGAAATTGAAGTTATCTCTCTGGAACTGCAGTCACACACAAAAAAATTCAATGTGTATTATTTTTACTTTTATACAAATCCTGAACAAATATGACCTGAATTTTACAGCAATATATACCCATTCTAAAAGCAGCAGGAGGCTTTTGAAGCCCATTTGTTCAAAATATATTTTGTAGCATGCCAAGGGAGAGGAACAGAGAGGAAAACAGGTGGGGAGAATTTTTCTGCTCCTCCTGTCAGCTTGGTGAATCTATTCTGCCTTTCTATCTTGCAAAATATATTTCCCCATAATGGCTCTATGTTCTCCCTTCTTGAAAACATCAGACTTATCTCTGCTTTATTGATCTCTCTTAAGATATCAAGAGTGAATTTCTAATAAATTCATTACATCAAACCAATACCAAGTAAATATCACTAATGTGTTTCCAAAGATATTTTCCATGATGTATTTTCTTTTAATAAAATCACAACCCTTTCATTTCATTTTGGATGGTCCTGTGTGGAGTCAGGATTAGGACTCATCGATCTCTGTGGGTCTCTTCCATCTCAGGATGTTCTATAGTTTAACAAAATGTTCCTTTGCAGTTGTTTACTGATCTACACTTAGAATGTGGGCATCCAAATCTCTATTCCCAAAGCTTTGCTTATGGTTCAGCTTTGAACTGAAATGAGAAATAGATCCAGGAAGCCAGAGTAAAATTATTCATATAAAATTATTTCTTGGAGGTTCAGTACAGACACGAAAACTTTGAGAATGATAAAACACTTCCCTGTAGGTTGAGAGTGACTTGAAATTAGAGATAAAATTTAATTCTGAGACAACATGGGGCAAGTTGCTAAGTGAGATCTCTACAGCAATCGAGGAAATTGAAGTGAAGGGGAAATGTTGGGACAAATATTTTTAACTGCAGAAAATATTTTCAAGACAATGTCTGTATTACTCTGTGTGAAAGATGACAGACTTAAGTAATGATCAAAATGGCATGTAATTTTACATGCAGATGTGTTGAAATGACCATGAGCTACATTTCAGTGGGCATTATTTAGGCCAAATGCAAACCTACTGTCATTTACATTTAAATTTAAAGTATGGTCCACGATCTTCCACTTTTGTATTTGGAACTGCACTCAGATTCCCTCGTTTTGAAGACAAAAGGGTTACAGTTTCCAAGCTGTACATCTGTAACCCAGAAAGTCTTATAAGCCTCTCCTCCAGACTAGTCAAGAGGTAAAAATTACCCTTATGGTAACAAGCCCTGCATAATCCCTGAGTAATAGAGTTTGGGTTTGTTTTTCTCTTCTCACTCTCTTTTGGAAAAAAGGAGGAGGAGTGTCTAGAAACAGAAACTATCCTGGATTAAGGGCTCCAGAGTGGTTCTGCTAAACAAAACTGTAACAAGGTTGATTTGTTCAGGCAAGGCATGCCAGCAAGAAGTAACAGAAGGAAATTCTTCCTTCTCTCCTGACAACAGCAGCCTACAAAATTCATATGGTTCTTTATATGAAAAGCAGCATGGCTACGAGTAAAAAAAAAATCTTGTTTGAATGAAACTCAACAATTCAGTAATGATGCGGCATCCCCAAAATGGAAAGCAGTAAAAGCTGTATAGGAGAAATTTAGGCTGCTCTACAGAAGAGACTTAAAATATGCTGACCAGTACATGATCCTCATTTGCAACTATGTTCCATCAAGAAGCAAAGCAGACTGATGAACTACTGCTCTCATATGCAAAAATTAAGATATCCTCCTTGCAAATAAAACAACACATTGAAAAAATATTGAATTATTTAATCTATATTTCCCCCCCTTTATTGTGGTATTCTGGACAAATTTGTATGTGGCTCGCTGCAGAACCATGGAAGAGTACAATGCTCACTCACATTGCAGATGCTAGAAATTACTGAGGTTATTCCATTTAGTACAAATACATTTCATTTCTTTTTGGACAGGTTCTTTTTATGTGAAGAGCCTGAAATAGAAACTTCAGATGCACACTGAATTTTTTAAATTTTGGGGGCCTTTTGTATGTAGGATTTTAGTCTATACTGCTAAGGATGTATGTCCTAAATCTACAGGTCTTTAAGCAGACACATTTGCTTACTTTAGCAGAATATATGAAATCCCAGTAGACGAAAATAGCCGTTAGCCTAAATTTATTCATGTCCCTTATATCATACACATTTGGCTATATATTTGTGTACATTTGTTGCTTTACCAAACTGTGAAGCACTGAAATTCAGCTGTCTGGTGTTTTGCTTTGTTTTTGCTTGTTTACAGTGTGAAAGAGAAGGAAGTAGGGCACTAATAAAGGTGGAATCCATGTGCTACAGGAGCAGAACACTTGCCAACCCACCACTTCTTAAAAGAAAACAAATGACATATTTCTGCAGGGTAAAAATTGCCTCTTTTTTCTAATAGTCAGAGCTGAATTCTCTCCTCAAAAATGCAGAGAAATGATCTTTGCAGTACAGTTGATGACAGAAATCCTATTCCAGTTTCTAAAGCACTATTTGAGCATCAGGGCACAGTGCTGCTTAGGAGTACCAACCCCATAACAGCTGAAACTGTTTCTCACCCAGGAATGTTTCATTCTCTCATTTTAAGAAACTGTCTCTTTCATGCAAGCAATAATCACTTATAGGGTGAGAAAAAACAAACAAATAAATAAACAAGGAAGGCAGTGGTAGAAGTTCTGTTATTTGTTAGTGCCTGTGTGGTTAAGTTACAGGTGATCAGGAGTTATGAGGAAGAACTGAATGGAAATTCACTTCCTGGTCGTTTTAAAATACGAAACAGCAGAACAACCAGGAGTGGGTTGGGTGGGTAAGAAAACTATGGCTTTCTTCATTAATAATGGCCAATATGGTCCAAATTTATATCTCTTCTCTCCAAATTGTTTCCGTATCCATCCTTCAAAACTAATGATTTTAAATACCTATTGTAAGTAATTCCTAGCAAATATGATGAATATTCTTCCACTGAATTGTCTATTTTAAGTGCATGTAAGTTTGAAATGGAAATAATTCTGGGCCTGTTTTCTACTTGCTAGCCATTCAAGTGGGATATACATCAAATGGTCTGAGTTTATCCAGGTTAAACACTGGATTCTGTGGCATTAATTTATATATGTAACATAGAATAATTCAGATTTCTGGCACTGCCTGATACACATTTTAATACTCTGTTGTGTTTTTTTTGTGTGGGTTTTTGTTTTGTTTTGTTTTTGTGTGTGTGTGTGTGAATAATCTCTAGGATCTGTTTAAAATTCCTACTTTTGCTGGCCTTGCCTGTGCACAGCAGCAGCACTTCAGGCTTTGATAGCAGGTGGAATAAGATGACACGAAGAATTGGCTGAGTAGGAAAATCTAAGTGAATCACTTCTCTAACTGATGTTCTACCATTGCAGATGTTATAGTCAGTGCATTTTTTCGGATAACACCACCCTGTAAAACTCACTTAACTAAAATTATTTTTTAGAACTGTGGAATCTCTCCAGATTCTGACATCTCATTGATGGGAGCTGGAAGGGTTAGGTGAAGTTAATGGAAAGACTTAAGATTTTCTCACTCAATAAAAAAATCAGAGAAAAATTGTGTCTTTTTCCAGTAACCTTGGTAAGAAAGTCCAGTTTTACTGCTGCAGTGTGGCTGAAGTTGGGATGCTTTCCTGCTGGCTCTGTCTTCATTAGTATGTATATTTCCTTTCTCCTTTCACAATTTACCATTGCATGTATTCTTGCAACATTATATTTCTTCCATCACTAAATTTATTTCTTTTTATGGGTACTTACTGACCTCTACTATTGCATGTTGTTCTCCTTTGCCTCCAGAATTAGGTCTTTTCAGATCACGAACTAAAAATAGGAAGCTAAATATGAAAAACTATTCAGATACCACAGCTGTCCTGTATTACTAACAATATTTTAGTCCAGGACACTGCTATTCTAATGCAAGAGGTTAAAGTTACAGTGCTAGAATATCAAAACTTCCGCTCCCTCTGAAATACTTTTTAAAATTGAAATACATGTTCTTAATGGAAAAAAAAAATGCAGCCTATAC